AAGAGTTAACAATGTGAAAATGTCCATACTACCCAAATGATCTACAGATTCAATGCAATCCCCATCAAAATATCAATGACATTTTTCACAGAAATGGAAAAGACAATCTTAACATTCATATGGAACAACAAAAGACCACAAATAGCCAAAGCAATTCTGAGCAAAAAAAATAAAGCTGGAGGCATAACACTACCTGACTTCAAATTATACTACAAAGCTATAGTAACCAGAGCAGCCTGGTACTGGCATAAAAACAGACACTAGGACCAGTGGGACAGAACAGGGAAACTAGAAATCAACCCACATACTTACAGCCAATTGATCTTCAACAAAGGCACCAAGAACATACATTTGGGAAAAGACTGCTTCTTTGATAAATGGTGCTAGGAAAACTGGCCATCCTTATGTAGAAGAATGAAACTAGACCCATACCTCTCACCATATACCAAAATCACCTCAGAATGGATTAAATCTGGAGTTTTAGACAGTAGAAATGAATTGAGATGATAACTTTTACTCACTCATACTTTCCTGAGTTACAAAAGAAAAGTAGCCACAAGGGGAGTGTGTGGAAAGAGAGAGAAGCAAGTGGGTATCCCAGGCAATATCATTTCATGCACAATAGGAGTTCATTGGGGTGAGGTAATATCAAAACCCTTTCATACTCAAAGTGCAGTGATGTGATAGCTGTTCTCAGCAAGTCTGTATTCAAGAAGATAGATATGGATTGCATGGGAATCACGGGGCAGATCAGTTCAGCTGTGAGTATCCTAAAACCAAAACATTGCAGTCATGTTCCAATCTGTAGCAGGAAAATATTATTCATGGTTTAAGATTTTCATCTGCAAACTGGTATAGCTTGGTCACATGACTATACTTACATGATTGTAAGGCAAGAAGACTTGACAAGACAAGGGAAACAAGAAATGGGAAGGGAAGGAAAGGAAAAGAATACTGTAAAGACATCCTCTAAAAGGCTGACAAAACACACATGAGTGCAGTTCTAATGAACAAGACCAGTGGCCATTCTCATTAATTTTGTGAAACTGTGATAGCAGAACATCACAGATTGCAAAACCTGCTTTTTGAGCAGTATAATCACTGTTTTTCAAATGCTATATTAACACAAGATGATAAAACAGTTATCCAACACCTTGTACAATTTTCCCACCCTTAGATAAATTTCACTGTAACTCTGCTTCAAGGGGCTTAGCAGGGGTAGGGAGCAGGGCAGAAAATGGGGAGATAGTGTGTGTTCCAAAGCCAAGGACTGTGCAGAAACGCATTGCAGGCAACCTAGTTGCCTTGGGCTGCTGGGCACAGAGGCAAAATAAGTTTGCAAGAAAAAATAAAAAGATGGTCCTCTCCCATTCAAATTTTTGTGCAGCCCACAAAGACAAGGGATACCTGGACACAAGAACCTACAACAGCAAACCAAATGAGCCATCACTAAACAGGAGAGAGTGGGAAAACCATGTGCCAGGAAAGGAGGCATAGATTTTAAAAGAGCCAGAAAGATGTTGAATTTGAAGCCTGGCTTCACCATTAGCTAGCCTTCTGCTTTTTACAAGTATGTCTCTGAGTCTTAGCTGGTTTTCTGGTAAGACATGGATGATAAGATTCCTATCTCCTAGGAGTGCTGTGATGATTAAATGAGATAATGTATGGAAAGTATTTGGCACAGCAGCTGGTGCAAGGTGGGAACTCCATCAGTGGTAAATTGGATTACTCTAAGCAATGATTAAACAATAAAAAATAAGACCCACATTCCAAGACAACCCAAGTACAACACATTGAAGAAGGTAACACATTTGAAAACTGATATGAATTCATAGAACTGGAAGTAGGCTTCGGAACTCTGGTCAAATCTCCTCATTTTATTGATGGGAAAATTAGAGAAGGAAATGAAAAGGCTATTGTGGTTTGGATAGACATGGGCCAAAAAAGGTTTTAATTAGAAGGAGGTTATTCATCATTTTTTTACATAACAGAAGATGAAGGTGGACTTAGAACATTACAGTTCATAGTTTGTGTTTGTGTTACAGTTCATAGTTTGTGTGTGTGTGTTAGAGATAATAGAGTTCCTCTAAGGAGGTGTCTAGCAGAAAGTTATCCTTGCCTTCTGTGAACTTCATTGGCCTCCATCACCTGAATTCACCCATTTGTAAAGTAAACATACCTAATAAATTTCTCTGATATTTCAAGGAGTACTGAATACAACAGCTTCATGCATAAACTGGTGATTATAAAGCACATGCTTCTCCCAAGCTACAGCCAGGTCACTCACCTGTCCAAGAGCAAGTTAGGAGCAAATAGGAGCTTCCCTGGGTGTTCCATGGAGCGCCAGATGAGACCAATCATCAGGATCTCTAACCAGGCACATTCCAGAAGGTGGACCTGATCATGGAGGGCCAAATCCACAAAGCCTGAAACAAGACAATAGAAGCCCTGACATAAATTGGAAAGTATTCATTACTGGTTAAACTAATGCAACCAGGGATTTGAATCAGTAGGGTCTGTTTCCATCAGATGGAACAAAGTGTAGTAGAAGCACACTTTATAGGGAAGTCAAGGAACTAGCTTTTAAACCTAGCTATATCAATGAATTAAACTAATGCAACCAGGGATTTGAATCAGTAGGGTCTGTTTCCATCAGATGGAACAAAGTGTAATAGAAGCACACTTTATAGGGAAGTCAAGGAACTAGCTTTTAAACCTAGCTATATCAATGAATTTCAATTTGCCATTAAGTTTCTTAGTGCCTTAGTGTCACATCTACAGAAAAATACCAACGTATGCAACCCACTTAGCTTTCTATAAAGTTCTGTACTTAAACAGTGTTAAAACCTGTATGATTTCTACTTACATGTTTCTAATAGCCCTATGTGACTGTTATTATTCATATCTGTTTCAGTTGAAATTTAAGTTACCTGCCTTAGACCAAACAGGAATTGGAGCCCAGGCAGTACCAAAGTCACTAAATTTCTATTTCTTCGCTTCGTTACTAAGCCATGCTGTTTTGTTTTGTTTTGTTTTCATAACGTGTAAAAGAAAGATAAGTGTAGAAAAATAACATATGTGAATAAATCAGGTGGAAAAAGTTGAGATTACAATTACCTCTGGTAATAACCACTAACACGTGCCTTTGTTTTCCAGTGGCTGATGAGGAGATTAAAGCTTTATTAATACAATAAGCTGAAGACATAGGAACTGATATCCCCATTTTACGGATGAGAAAACAGATGCTCAGAGAGCTTATTTATCTAAGAGCAGAGTTAGGAATATAATCTCTAGATCCTGTGCTCTTGACCACAATTGACACTACCTCTTCTGAGCTCCACTTACCTATAGAATTTGGATCAAGTGATAAATAAACCCAGCCGTACACATTAAGATATGCCAGAGTGACAGGGGGCATTAAGTAAACAAGGTGTCCGTCAAGTTTGCTGCTTTCCAAATCAGTTCCTGTTCTTTTGCCCTGAGGTATCCCATCATAATCTATTTCTTTCTTCTCTCTCTTTACTCTCAACTCTTTTTTCCCTCTTATACATAAAAATAGCTCTAGGAATCCTACTTTTTTTTTGTTCTCTTCTTTATTTTCTCTCACTAATATTATACATTTATTATCTATGTATACGTGTGTTAACTAAAAAACCAAAATGTAAGTCTGTTTTCCTTAAAACAAGTCAGTCAAGTATGGATGGTCTGCCTACTGAATGTTTCTTCTTTGGGGTCTTGTCATTATCAAAGGGTCAGCATTAAACAATTAGCTTATTATTTCTTATATGCTTAAGCACCACCTTTCAAATAGGTGACAGTCCACATAGCGAAACCCAAGTAGAGACAGACCTCAGACTCTATACCCCGTCTCTTGCCGTCATCTCATACTCAAACCTCACCAGTTCTGTCTTTGAAGTAACTAACATTCTTCCGCTTTTCCATTCCCACTGTTAACATACTAATTCAGTTCCTAATAGTCTCTTACCTTTTCATCAGACTCCTTTAACTAAGCATAATTATTTTAAGACTTATCCATCTTGTTGCATGTATGAGTAATTGATCCTTTTTATTGCTGAGTGGTATTCTATTGTATGGATATATGAAATAAATAAATACAATTTGTTTACCCTTTCAATGAACATTGGGGTTGTTTTCAATTTTTGGCTACTAAAAATAAAGCCGCTATGAGCAATCCATGTATCAGTTTTCGTGTGGACATAAGCTTTCATTTCTCTTGGTTAAATATTTAAGAATATGATAATCTGTATGNCTAATATTATACATTTATTATCTATGTATACGTGTGTTAACTAAAAAACCAAAATGTAAGTCTGTTTTCCTTAAAACAAGTCAGTCAAGTATGGATGGTCTGCCTACTGAATGTTTCTTCTTTGGGGTCTTGTCATTATCAAAGGGTCAGCATTAAACAATTAGCTTATTATTTCTTATATGCTTAAGCACCACCTTTCAAATAGGTGACAGTCCACATAGCGAAACCCAAGTAGAGACAGACCTCAGACTCTATACCCCGTCTCTTGCCGTCATCTCATACTCAAACCTCACCAGTTCTGTCTTTGAAGTAACTAACATTCTTCCGCTTTTCCATTCCCACTGTTAACATACTAATTCAGTTCCTAATAGTCTCTTACCTTTTCATCAGACTCCTTTAACTAAGCATAATTATTTTAAGACTTATCCATCTTGTTGCATGTATGAGTAATTGATCCTTTTTATTGCTGAGTGGTATTCTATTGTATGGATATATGAAATAAATAAATACAATTTGTTTACCCTTTCAATGAACATTGGGGTTGTTTTCAATTTTTGGCTACTAAAAATAAAGCCACTATGAGCAATCCATGTATCAGTTTTCGTGTGGACATAAGCTTTCATTTCTCTTGGTTAAATATTTAAGAATATGATATCTGTATTATATAGTAGGTGTATGTTTAACTTTATAAGAAACTGCCAAACTGTTTTCAAAAGTGGTTGTTGTAACCATTTTACATTCACACCAGCAATATATGAGAGTAGTAATTGCTCTGAATTCCTACCAGTACTTGATAAAGTCAGTCTTTTTAATTTTAGGTATTCTAATAGATGTATAGAAGTACCAAAATGCCATTGAAATTTTAATTTGCATTTTCCTGATGACTAATATTGTTGAGCATATTTTCACATGTTTCCTGACAGATCGTTTTGTTACACTACATTCAAGTTCATTATGCCCATATCTGTAAATCCTGCTAGACTGTGTACTCATTAGAGGGACAAAATGTATGATTCTATCAAATTCTTTTTTAATGTCCAAATTTATTGCACCCTCTACTACATCAAGCAGTCATGCCAAGGACCATGACAATGTAGCCTTTATCAGAGCAGATGTCTTTCCTTGGAAAGAGTAGATTCCTCTCATGTAAAGCAGGACTTGCATCTAAAGAAATGAGAAAGTAGGAGGCTTTGTTCATAAGAAAAACTAAATGATTAAAAAGCAACAATTTGGCTTCAGATCCCCTGTGCGGAAAAGGGAACAGGTATCCCTACAACGTGCAGCTGTTTACCTATTGAGTGCACTGGGTCAAAAATGGACTAGCCTTGCTCTAGGAGAAACATTGCCTGATGCAGCAGTAAACGCTTCTCTTTCTCAGTACTCAGTGTCTAAAGGATAAACCAAACCCAGTGTGCAGTACTTAAAATGAAAGCCTTTAGAGAAGTTTTTATTCCCTAAAGTCCCCAATCTTTTGGGTGAAGTCTCATGACAGTAATGTGAACTTACACCATAAATGAAATTCACTTTCATAAATATTAACATTCAACAGTGAGGCTTTTTCTCTCTTCTCCTGACATTCACTGTTTTATGAAGAGAAAAATGTAATCATGTGATATTATCACCCAAGATGAAACCTACCCTGGATAATTCAATACCCTGCATAAACCTCAAACTATTACACAGGATGGGATCTGGTGGCATCTTGCAAGTTCTCAGAACTGGTTGGCCATGCGACCAATCAACTTTGGAAACACAAAGGCCTGTTTTCTAGTGGCAACTTTACATATTAAATGGAATCATGCTTTTTAATCCTTACTTTAAAATTTCAGTGCTATTTAGGTTTGACAGTTTTAGTGGTCTTTTGGAAGCTGAAGAAGCTCCCCAGAACCATTTATACCACATAAAGTATGGTGATTATGAAATCCATCTAAAGTGTGTCTGTTAGTAATAGTTTTCAGTTGGAGGCCAACAGGATTGCTCAGTTCTTCTGTTGAATGTCACTGATCTCTCAAAGAGTCTATTTAATTATCTTTCCCAGCTGTGCATATTGCCTGCAGACAAGGATTATTATATCTGTTGTACAGTGTCCTCTGAAGTTTCCTGGGATAGGGTTGGGGGAGTGGGCAGAAAAGACAGTCAATTAACCTCAATGAATGTGAGGACCATAAAAGGAAGTTATTAGATGGAGTGTCTCCTTTCTTCCAATATACCTGTCTCAGTGTTATTTTAACCACACAGGAGCAAACTACCCTTTTGGTATGGGATAAATGTCCATGAATACTTTTTGCTTCCTAGCCAATGGGGAAAAATAATGCAATAAATCCCAAGCAAAATTATATTGGGCCAATTATCTATAGACAACATTTTCAATCCCTTGGCTTATTTTCCTTATAAACATGAAGAATTTTCTAAAATGGATCTGCTATAATAACTTAGCAGCATTCAAATAAATAAATTCCATTCATTCCTGAACAGTTGAAAATATTGCCAATATGAAGACGGGAGCTTAGCAGCTAAATGGGATATGAGTAGAGGTATCAATGACAGATATTCTGACAGGTAGCACCGTGAGAGGTGACTCATCCGCCCATCACTTAAGGACCCCCGTGTTAATGACAATGACAAGAGGGCTGTGGGCCTGTGGACTCCACACCAGAGGGACAGAAGGCATACCAGGTATCAATGACAGATATTCTGACAGGTAGCACCGTGAGAGGTGACTCATCCGCCCATCACAATGACAAGAGGGCTGTGGGCCTGTGGACTCCACACCAGAGGGACAGAAGGCATACCTAAAAAGTAGTAACAATACTTTGCTGAGACTAGGCAAAATCAGATGCTCAGAAATCTCTTTTTATAAAATAAAAAATGTTTAAAAGCAAACACGGGTCTTTTTCCCTGGTCTACATTCATAAGTCTAGTAAGAGAGTATCCACAGACAGGATATACTAGAAACAGACAGAGACGTGTCAAGTCCCCTGCTCCCACCCCGCTGTATCGGACTAATGAAGTTGAGGGAGGCCTCTTTCGTAGAAAAAGACACCTCCTCCATATGCAAACGAGCTCATTATTTCCAGCCTTACAACCAAGTAAATAATACACTCCTGTCTCTTGTCGTGCATTATACAGTAACTGTTTTTCCTCCAAGATATTT